CAGAGTAGATGGGAGGAGAGAAGAGCATGATGAGGGCCTAGCAGACAGTCAGGCTAGAGACTCCACCCAGGTAGGGATTGCCAAAGAAGGCCTGGGAAGAGGGGAAAAAAAACCCTTTATTGTTTATGGACTTTGTTTGGGGGATTTTGAGTTTTACCTGGAATTTATTTTACATTACTTAACCCAGTCCCCAAAGGTGGGTATTTTTACCACGGAAAAGCCTGGGTGCAATTTTAGTTGAACAGTCCAAAAGGGGAAAACTAAGACAGGCTGCATATGGTGTGACCAAACCATGAGACAATGCATGTTTAATACTGCCTGTCGAAGACTCCAAGCATGCTTCCACCATATGCATTCCTGTGTCTGGAATAGGAAATAGGCTGTTATTTGTGGTGCACATACACTCCAGCATTCCAGATCTCTTTTGTACTGTAACACCCAAGTATCTCATAGGGAAGGGTTCTTCCACTGTAAAAGGAGGCTGTAGACTATTCCATTTCCAATGGGGGAACATATATCCACATCTCATTCTTTCCCTTCTAGGGTTATATGGAAGACTCCATTCTAGAAGGGCAGAGAAATCTAGGTCAGGTTTCTTTCTTCCCAAGGAGTTCACTGATGGCCATTTTCCAGTAGACAAAGAAATCAAATTCAGGTTTCTTCTTTTGGTAGCAGAACTATTCAAGGTGAAAACAGAAATCTGATTCAAGTTCTATTCCTCATAGAGGGCGAGTCCAGAATGTATCTCAGGTGGGCAGATAAATCTAGTCAGACTTCTTCCTCCTTATTTCTCTATTGAGTTAAGAGACAAAAGGGGCTAATGTTATTTGTCAAGCTCCAGATATTTGCTGAGCATTGTATTAGATGCTCATAAGACAAGTCCCCTACCCTCATGAGCTTACCACCTAAAGGCCTGATTCCGGAAGATGCTAAAACTCATCTTACAATGACCTCAGTGGGAGTCAAGGATGCTTGCTTAGCACCCCATGAAGCACTCACCACAACTGGGTGTGAGCCCTGCCACAGACACTAACAATACTATGTATATACAGTATAAGATGCTGAGGGATTTGCAATAATAAATACCTAGAGAAGCTTGTAGCTGAAAAGTATGTGGGAGGAAATGTTTCTTACGGTCTGAAAAATGGACTGAGAAAAAGAATTAATGACAGGGCTGTTTAGAATTTTCCATCAAAACTATTTTTAGGGGGAAAATGGGGTGTGTTTTTTTTACTGGACAATTCTTTTTCACAAAGTTTTTCCTGACATTTTTTCCTTAAATTCAATACATGGATTTTGACCAAAAAAATTCCATATTTAATCAAAAGTCATTTTTTTCTGAGACACACCTCCCTTCGCCTAGTCCCCTGATTCCTCTCCCACCCTCTGAACTCCCAGCCTGGAGTATCCTCCTGCATCTCGTATCCCTCATCCCCATTCCCATCCCAGAGCCTGCACTCAGAGCCAGAGCCCTCATACACCCCACACTCCAACCCCCTACCTGACTCTGGAGCCTGAACCCCTCATTTATGGCCCCACCCCAGAACCCACACCATCAGCCCAAAGTCTATACTTCCTCACATATCCCAACCCCTGCCTCAGCCCAGAGCCCCCTCCTGGACTCTGAACCCCTCAGCTCCACCCCCAGCCCAAAGCCTCTTTACATACACCAAACCCCTCCTCCCTGGCCTCACCTCACAGTCTGCACCCCCTGTCAGAGCCCTCATCACCTCTCACAAATTAACTCTCTGCCCCAGCAGAGTTCTTATCCCTGCCTGCACCACAACCATCTGAGCCAGCCTGATGGAAATGAGTGAGTGAGGCTGGGGAGGGCTGGGGAGAGCAAGCGACAAGGGCAGGGGGTGGAGTGAGCAGAGACAGGGCCTTGGGGAAGGGGTGAGGCTTTGGGGAAGGAGCTGGACAGTCAGGCCTGCCAACAGGGTTGGGGCAAAGGGGACAATTGCCCCGGGGTCTGGAGATTTTAAGGGGCCTGGGGTTCCCAACTGCTGCCACTGCTACTGCAACAGCGATGGCAGCCGGAGCCCCAGCCCCCATTGAATTGCCACCGGCGCTCCGTTCCACCACTCCACGCAGCTCTGAAGGCCTGGTGGGACACACACGGCTGTATAGGTAGTGCTGAGAGCTGGCTGTTCCCAGCCTAGCCCTTCTGCCTGAGGTCCCACCCCTTCCAGGGGCACAGAGCTCTCCTCCACACACCTTGCTCCAGGACCTGCTGTGGCTGTTGGCCCCACTAGGGGTAGTGTGGGGCAAAGGTTTTGTGCAAATAAAATGTTGCTATCCATCTCATGCAAGTGACTGCTATTATCCCACAAAGTGAGAATCTCATTCCCCTTCTCTAATTTTCAGTATTGGCTTTAGGCAAAATGTACAGAAACAGCCACTTGTGACCTGTGTCCCTCCAAACTTACTAGCTGCTAACTCTGAAATACGTAGCCTGTCTGACCTCCCTTTCAGCTAGCAGGACTTGAGAAGGGTGATATCTCTGATTCCCGCCCCTTGCTGTCACCACACCTCCTTACGCCAGATCCTAACCTATCTTCTTTGTACCTCCCTTCTCTATCCTGCAAGACTATAAAAGCAGAAGCCAGTGTGCCAGGTCTGTACTAGCGAGTGAAAATCTTGCTAATTCTGTTATACCAGAGTAGGGCTATGTTTGGCTGTAGAAATAGCTCAGGGCTGAGGATTGTAAATTGAGCTGAAACCAAGCACCATGCTGTTGGAGGGGGAAAAAATCTTCCTTCAGGGAGAGACAGTAGATTACACATGCAGACACCATTGCCATCAAGCTAGTTTATGCCACAAGAATAATTTCAAACTAATATTTATCATACATGGTTTGCAAGGAGGGGTCCAATGAATCACTTATCTGACCGTTGTAATAAACCTTATGCAATTGCTTTTCTGGCTGCTCTGTTGCCTGCCAATTGCCTGGTTTGCAATGCCTCTTTGCTGCTTGCTTGCAATTAAAAAGGCACCTGTAGATTGGAGAGAACAGTAAAGTCAATATGAGGAAATAAATAAGAGGCTGCTGCTATCCTATACTAAATGCATGCCTCTGTTTAAAACAATGGGGATGCTAGAGCCATGCCTCAGCCAGAGAAACATGAAGATTTTCTTGAATGGCTGCAATGAGAGCTTGACTCTAGAACTTGCATTTGCCCAAAGTATAGGGTAGGGCTCTGATGTTCTAATCAGGAATTATCAACCTGTAACTTTCTAGCTCGTGCGCAAGTACCGATGCATCCTACTGGGTGGAATCAACCTTGGCCAAAAGTGTGTCCTTAGCTCTAATATTGCTACAGCTCAAGGAGATACTCCTTCAGGTCAGGTGGCAGGGGACTTGTGCTTTTGTATTAAACTATTGCATGTTCATGGTGTGCAGAATGCTAGCAACCACAAAGTCCTAGTCTTAATTGAAAAGAAAAGAAATCTGGAAAATGTGACAGTGCAAACCACAGTAGACTTCTTTCTGAGTCTGCAGACACCTGTAATAACAGAGATGTGAATTGTATCATGCATCTCGGTGGGTTGTTAATGCTGAAACATAACAACAACCTTTTACTTAGCAACATTAAGTATTTTCACTGACAATTATTTTAACAAAAATAACCAGCCAATACGCACAAACTCAGCTTGCCCCCCAAATCACCATAAGGAGTAAAACCTCTAGATTTACTCCTGGCAATTTCTATGATATGATTATATCCGATAAAGATTAAAATCTGTGTCATGCTGAAAACTGAATATGTGAGGAAAATGTAAAACCAGTTGAATTCAATATCAAAATCAGTAAGGGAGGTCATTGGATGTATTATATTATTCAAATTTTCTTATTTAATGCCTATTTTTTTTCATTTATTTGAAATTCCCACAGCATCCAACTGTTTTCTATAGAACTTAGGTGCAGTTTGTCTCAAAGTATACAGATCCTTGAGTATAATTGTGATTGATAGATAGTGATAACATTCAAAATCCTGATTTTTTTTTTCCAGTTACTTACAACCTTCTTCAAAATTCCCTTTCTGGCAGGGATTTCCTTCGTGTTTTATCTGAGCCCAAAATCAAATTATCCTGGAAAGCTTAATTTAAAAAAAAATGGTTCAAACTATCTTTGAATTATTTGAATGTGGACAAAACATCTAGGTGTTCTGTTCCTAATGCATTTTAGGGGCTTCCCCCCCCTCCCCTTTGGTGCTCAGATAATTGAATAACAGCCCATCCTTGAAACTTCAGACCTGGAATGTATTCAGCCCTTAATGAGAAACATAGTCTTTGCCTCATATGGTTTCAAAATGACCAAGCTTACCACCTAAATTATTATCCCCATTTCACAGAAAGGGGAAGAAGAAAAATTAAGTTGCGCAAGGTCATAGAAGCAGTCAGGAATAGATCCCAAATTCAAATATAATAGCACTATTTGAAATGACATTGGAAAAGGGTAGAAGTGCTTTCGCAGCTCCCCACAGCACATTTATATAACTGTTAAATAGCGGATAGTCTAAGATGTGTCCTGCCCTCCACACTGTAACAACCCTCTTTTGTCACCAGCGCAGCACTATGTAGAGTTTTAAAGCTAATGGTGTAACTATCTTAGAGAGACATATGTGCTTCCTTGAATGAATGGCTATTTTCACAAACTCTAAACAGTAGCCATATACTTCAACAAGAAAGGCCACCATACTACTTTAGTCAACACATGCTATTACAAACTACGCATCTGTTCGGAGTGCTGTAAGAACCTGGTGCTCTGTAGAACTGAGACTTTTTTGGGCTTGGAATTGTCTTATCACAACTTCTTGTTTTCTCTGGTCACTTTTTAGCCTTTTCTCTCTAGATAGGAGGCTAATCTCATTTAAAGATTTTGGCCTTAGCTGGAACTGCTATTGAATAAAAAGAGCACTTCCTTCTTAGCTTTGTGTTATAGGTATCCCTGAGATGTATCTGATGATGACACAGATATCTTTTGTCTTTTTTCACAGAAAAAAATCAAACAAAATTCAAGGAAATTCTATGCAAAACCCAAGTAACTACCACCCTGAAAGCAGAATCAGGATCTGACAGCAGCTATAGCTCTGCCATTTTGCACATATTCACAATAATGGGATCTTTCATTGCATGACCACACAACATCAGGTAAGCAGATTATCAAATTCATCATTTTTCACTGAACAATACAATATAATATAATACAAAGATGGCACTTTTCTCACCAGTGCTTCCCTTTCATGAGAGTCAATGGATAGAGGATGGCAGGACAGGTGCACGCTGTGTATTTTGGTTTACAGAATCTGCTTTTTAAAATAAATGTCCATCTCTCCCACTCTGAGATGAACACACCACAGAAAACATAAAAAGGCCAAGACCTGACTGTACTTATTCTCTCTGCTGTAGGAGATAAATACATAATCTCCTCCTCCTCCTCCTCCTCTCTCTCAAGCTCTGGAAGACTGTTCCCCCACCCAAACCTCTTTTGCTGAGCACCAGATTCCTCCTACCACCACCTGAGTAGGTAGAAAATTTCCTGTCCTCTCTGATACTGGGCCTCGCTTACCTGCTGTATCCCACTGCCTTCTTCATATTTTTTCTCCCTCCATGACCACAGCTCATGCTATGCTTTTCCTCAACACCTAGACAGAGGGCAGTAGGCCTGAGGGCTGAAGGGCAGGAGGATGGGGGATGCTGGACTTGTTGACAGCACAGATAGAAGGGTGATAGAAAAGTTCTTAGTAGGACTATAGCAGGGCTGGCTTCTCACAAGTGTCTTGCTACAATGTATACATGAGGAGCACAGATAGAAGGGCGATAGAAAAGTTCTTAGTAAGACTATAGCAGGGCTGGCTTCTCAAAAGTGTCTTGCTACAATGTATACATGAGAGATGTTAAATCTGTCACTTATGGCAGTTCTGGTTGGTACCCAAATACTATTGTGATGTGGGCTGTAAAGGAACCTGAATGGAATAGAACCTGCCCCAAGACTCACCCAGAAACCAATCCTGCTCCCCATTGTCTTCACAAAGACGTTGGAAACTAGCAAGTCTTCCAGGTATTAAACATTGTGGGATTAAGCACTATCCAGAGGGCAAATACTGATCAGCCAGAAACTTGATACAGATAAACCATAGATCAGGGTCTAAGCTGGCCCTGCTTCTGTAATTTTAGATGCATATATACTGTCCTGGTCATTTAAAATTCCATCTGTCTTGCAGGGTTATTTCTGACCACTATAGTGACATTCACTGAATAGCAGCGGCTTCATGAAAGAACATTGTAGGATCTCCAGGGCCATGTGCTGTCATGCCCCTATAAATACAAGCTCATGGTCATGTTGGTGAGAGGAAAGAGGGGGAAGGGCAGGTTTATGGTTCCCAGGAAACCTTTCCTATGAATTTTCAGATTGAATACAATGTTCATAGGCCAAATCAAGAACCATTCATGTTTCAAGGGATTTCAGTCCCTTTCTTCACATCCCATACAGTTCTGTGTCAAGGCTGGATTGAAAGCGAGAATGAGCCTACTTTCTGCTTCCTATTGTGATTCAATCAAGAAAAAACAAAAGAAATTGCATAAGCTGTTAGCTGTATCAAGTCCAAGCCCAGGCCATTGGCCATCTTCAGATCTGAGCCTGGACCTTGGCCTGAGCAACTCTTCGTGAACTGGATAGTTCATCCCACCCTTTATTTGATTCTCCACCACTGTGCCCAAATCTGAAGGACCCTGGGTATTCTAAAACTATGACAGGAAGTTTGAGGATTTGGGGGAGTGGGAGGGGCAGAGTTTCCCCTTTTTCCAAGAAGAAATCCCAACTATCAGTAAAGTTAATGGAAAATACATGCCATATTTGGTGAACATGGGGCTTCCACTCTCATCTAACGTAAAATAGGACAGAGGCAGGACACCTGTTCTCCACAACAAGAGAGTTTATAAAAAGCCCTAACCCCTAATTCTGCTGGAGATATGGATTTGGCTCATGCAAACATATAAAAATCCCTAACCCCTAATTCTGCTGGAGATATGGATTTGGCTCATGCAAACATTCAAGATTTCTCTGTTTGTGAAGGTCCTGCTAGCCCTCAAAAGCAACAACTTACATACCTATAGCTTGATGCATTTCAAAGGCTGCTGCTGCCATCACACCCCATTACTGCAACCCAATGCAACCCACGTTCTGCCTCACTCCTCTGGATTCACTGGATGGTCATAACACTTGTTAAGATACATTTAACACTGTTAAAAACATTGGAGTGTTCATTGTATGAACTGTTTAGTTAGCAAATCTCAACACCATTTCAG